CTGACAGCCAAGCTGAACCTCTTCCCCTTCAGCTTGAGTTTATTTCCTCAAATTACATATTCATTAGCCATGGCGAACAGCTGGTCATCTGTCGCCACCTCGTATTATTTTTAAGTTTCTGAAGATGTCTGGGTCATCCGTCTCTCCCAAGGAAATGAGCCAGCTCCTTGACTTGGCCATAGAGTTTATAGTCCAACACTTTCGCCAAGTGTTCTCCTCCAAACTCTCTCTGCAGCACCTCCCCCTCCTGCTCTGTGCCACATTATAGCAACACGTACTAAATTCTAAGGAGAAGGGGAAAATGAAGTATTTCCTCATGGACTTCTTCAAACATGCGGCCGTTAAGACATTCCTTCGCAGGTTTTGTTTTTTTTTTTCTAAATAACAAAATGGTGTTTTATTATATGCTTATTGTATGACTGTAAAATCATGCTCTCCTGCAGACATACAAATACACATGTACACACATTCATAACCAGAAGTTTTCAGTGCATCGTGAAAACAGGCCAAGTAAGGCCTATTTATGTCACTTTGAAGTCTGTCATATTTTTAACTCTCACATCATAAATGTCTCAATTTCTAATTCTAGTCTTCATGTTTCCGACTTACAATTACAGAGTTTATTAGCTGAAAAACACAACTGGTATGTATCTAGAACACCATCCTTTCAATAACGCTGTAAAAAGCTACTTGTTGCTAATAAAAAGTAGGGGACAGAAAACTCATCATTTGTCTGCATTTATATGCCAGAAATGGTAAAAACCGTATTTGCTTTTGTTTCCAGTTCCCAATGTAGATCCAACACTACGGGGGTTCCTGGGTGATGAGCGTCTGTGCTGAGTATATTCTAGTGTCTTTAGGCTGGGGACCGTCTGACAGGGACACACAGGTGGTTAGATAGTTTGAACTTGTGCTGAGTTCCTGACCCCTAGGGTGAGTTCAACAATGGCTTTATCGGTAAAATTTGAGTAACGAAGCCGCCATAAAAGAAGAGGTTGGCAGAACCGATGGGAAGGCGCACACTTAGAGGTATTGCAGAGGGAAGGGGTGTTGGAGGAAGCACGGAAACTCCCCACTCTTCCGCCATACCTGGACATTTCTTCCTTGGCCATCCCTGCCTGAGCTGTACTTCTGGAACAAACCAGCAACAGTCAGGCGGAGCCCTTTCCTGAGGTCAAGTGGAACTGAATTGAATTCTAAATGAGTTCTTGGGACCCAGTTGATGTTAGAGACTCAAAGAATTGATGACTGTGGAAAGATAAAGTTCTTAAAAAAAAGTATTTATTTATTTATTATGTATACACTGTTCTGCCTGCATGTGTGCCTACACACCAGAAGAGGGCACCAGATCTCAGTACAGATGGTTGTGAGCCACCATGTGGTTGCTGGGAGTTGAACTCAGGACCTCTGGAAGAGCAGCCAGTGCCCTTAACCTCTGAGCCAGCCATCTCTCCAGCCCCAGAAAGATAAGTGTCTTAACTGCTGATCTAACAGCTCTTCACTCCTTGCCTCTTTCTCAGAAGCCCTCACCTAAGACAACATGCAGGTCTACAACATGCAGGTCTACAACAGGACGGAAGCATGTAGCTGGAGTAAGCACACAGTCAGTTGCTAATGGCCAATCTCAACATAAATATTAGTAGATACCTTCACTCTCAAAGGCGCCCTGGCCTGGGCATTCTCTCCATAGACAACAACAACATATTGTCTATTTCTGAACTATAAATTATTATCAAGACTGTTAGGACAAAATGGCAAGTGGGATTGGGCTTGACACATGAATTAAATATAAAACAACAACAACAACAACAAACCCCTCCTGGTGCTTTAGGTACTCCTCTGCTGGATGCAATTTATCGGAAATACATCATACCATCAGTTCCTGGGAAGGTCCAAACAGTGTTGGCTCCTTCCCAAGACTGGAGTGGGCTGGGTGTGGTTACATCTTGATTAGTCCCATGGTGACCTTAATTCTCTGTTAACCTAGTTCTCACTAAAACTGCCTTCCTTTTCCCTTTGGCTGTCTTTTTGCACTCGCTACTCCACCCATCGGCTCCGAAGGACGGGGAAAGAAAGCGAACACAATGTTTGTCAATCCTGATGAGAACTGGGAGGAAAAGACTATAGAAACAGCCATACTGTTTCCAGTTACCCGTGAATTTCAACCATTTTGGCGCAACTGTTTTTACAAATTTCCACCAGCTGCTTTGAGAGCTCATTAGGGGTCTGGTTGCCAGTAAAATTAAAGCAACTGTGTTTGAAAACTTGGTAAAATTTCAGCATCGGCCTCTTGTAAGGGCTTTCTTTCCTCATTTACCAAGGACCAAAACTGTGCAAACCTTCCTCATGTCTTCCTTCACTCACCACCAACTCATGGATAGAATATTTTAATGTAGGTTTGATGTAGGTAAATGATTACTTGACATCAACTTAAAACAAATGGCACAATCACCTCTACAAAAGGACACAGTGAAACTCTAGCTGTAGGGGTCTAGAGTAACATGAGCATTGAAGACAGCACAGGGTTTTCCAGTGACATCACTAGGCTAATTTGAACACTTTCTCCTGAAGGTAGTAAGTCTAAATGTTTAAACCTGCCTTGTTCTTGCGCTTGAATTATCTGAAAAAGAAACAATCTATGTGCAAAGTGAAATAGACAGATACCAATAAGGTACCCTGAAGGGAACTCTGTCCTCACACAAAATAGCTAGAATGTAGATAGCTGTAGCACTGCTACATGGGCAAAACATACATGATTGCTTCAGAGAACTGTGGACTAGAGAGTACTTTAACAGGTGTGTGTATGTGTGTGTGTTTGTGTGTGTGCACACACATACAGGTGTATATTCTCTGCAATCTAGGTAACAAAATTGAAGAAGTAGAATCTAAGAAAGTACAAACTGGTCTTTGCCTGTGAAGCCGCCTGTCAGTAGTGACCCAGCAGTTTCACAATGTCACATCTTTACCTCTGTTAACAGTTAACTAAAGCCTCTTTCCCTCAGAAGTCTTAGAAGGAGAAAGCAGTTTGTGCTAGAAAGCAACATTTCCCAGAAACCCTAAATTCTCCAGTGGAAGGGCCTAGATGGACCTGAGCAGAAATTAATGAGGGCTAACCACTGTGCCTTCTTACTTCCCTTTTCCTTCCCTTCCTTTCCCCTTTCCTTTTCCTTCCCCTACTTCCCCTTCCCCAGGTCCTTCCTCTTCCCCTTTCCCTTCCCTTCCTTCCTCTCCTCTCCCCTCCCTTTCAATCCCCTGACCTCTCTCCCTTCTTTCTCTTCCCCTCCCTTTCCCTAATGGGATTAGAATCCTTTTAAATTTTGACTATTATATCATGATCCCAATGCATTATGCAATGAGGGCTTCAGTTAGTGAGTCAATGATATGTGCTATTTTAATCAGGAATTCTATTTTAATACAGAACTTTTAGCTAGATCATGTGCTAAAATAAATGTGCTCAGCCCCATCCAGCTGGGGCAGTGGGGGGGGGGGGGAGGGGGACTCTTCCTTGTATTAGAAAAGGAGAAAATGACTGGGATCCAAAGAGCAGCATTAAGGGACTCCTCAGACATTCAGACTGGCAAACCTGTATATCAACAGGATGGAAAATATGCAGTAATGGGGATTAAAACAAGCGCTGTTTATGTTTTATTTACCCCCACAACCATCTAAAAGCGAGCCTGTGGAGAATGTTTGGCTTCAAGAGAAACCTTTTTCAAAAGTGCTATTTGCTTTTATGGACCACCTTGGAGATTCATTTGTATATAGAGGGGCCTAACGGCCTGGAGGGAGCCTAGCAAGGGAGGTAAATAAAAACAAGCAAGTGTCTTAACCACTTGCCCTGGGTAAATAAGGGGAAAAGAATGTTAAGGAAAAAAAAATAGTCTCAAGGCAGAGTGACTCAGAGCTGGGAGGCCAGGGGTATCATTCCTCACCCAGTGTGGAGCTCCTGCCTTTCATCTCTGGTCTCAGTGTGAGATGCAGAAGACAGTTTTATTCGGAAAGAGAATGTAAGTCTCCATCTAGTTCTTGCATGGCTTGGTACTATCTTGGGTTAAATGTGCTCATCAGCAAATTATTTTGGCAGAGTATGGCCCATCCCTGTATGAAAAGTTTGTAATCCTGAGAGGAAGGACTAGGGCTAAATACTGATCATGGGCTCTGTCTCCTCATCCTCCTGGTGATCCTGAGAATAGCTCTCAGGCCTCTACTTCCCTACCTGGGATGATTTTGCTCTCACAGATCTTTGAGTTTGGGGAGCAGGCAGAAGAATCCACAACACAGCGATGAATGATCAAATTCTTTGATTCTCCAAAGAAACACAGCCTGAACAAGCTAAACTGACAGGGAAAGTGATTGGCCCAAGGTGACAGATTAAAGCTGGAAATTCTGAACAACTGCACAATGAAGCAACCTGACTTTCTGCCCATCCACTTCTCCAAGAAGAAGTATGGAGAATGTGTCAGCCCAGGGAAGCACCCACAAAACCAGATCGAAGGGGAGACCGGGAAACAGGAGCCCCTGGCAGCGCAGCACTGGTGCATGCTGGAGTGGGCTCTTTCTGTCTAGTCAGTCTGTCTGAGTAAGTGCAGAAGTACAGCGGTCTACGGCTGAAATGCTTGGGAGTGCTTCCTCAGCCTGAGAGAGGAACCCCAGAGTAGTATTTGTATGGTTATGTCAATGTCATGGTCCAGGCCAAAGCTTTCCTAACACCGAAACATTCATAATTTATCTCGGCACAATCCAGGGTCTGATAAATCTATCTTCTCTTGTGTATACAATAAGCACCCAGGTTAATCTGTAGGATGCTGAAGAGAGACAAAGTATTTGGGAAATTGTGACTTAAACTCATCATAGATCCTGGAGAGAAATGAATTAAATTTGTTTGAGGCCATAGACAATTTGCCTTGTGTTGAAGCTATCAACGTATCTTTTCATTAAAGTCCCACAGGAACTCTTAAGGGGAAGACACAAGTGCCAAGAACATAGCTCTGCTTGTGTACCTGTGGTTCCTGGTCATGACCGCTGGGATCCCTCTCGTAGCTCTCTGCATACAATCTGATGGTGGCCCGCACACCGCTGGAGGAACTGAGCCGGAATATGAGCCGTGATGCATCTGAGAAAATGATCCTCAGGCCCTGAGGGCAAGAACATGGCAAAAGGCTCAGTGAGTAGGTGAATACACAGGCGGCGATACCATACATGCCACAGAAACCAGAATGGTTCTATACCCTGAAGCCCGTCAGCGCCATGCCAACTTCTAGTTGGCTCTGGTTGCCCTCAAGCACAATGCTGTGGTAAACCCAAAAGCTACTTAAGGTCATCCATTTGTTTCTTGATTCTATTTCTGTTGCTCTGCGGTTAATGCTGGCAGATGTTGAAGAGCCAAACTATGAACATATGCTCAGATTTTCTTGGTCTAGTGATATGAGAATTGGGAAAACAGTAGAGATAACAGGGATGGGGAACCATTTAGTAAATGTTCCCAAAGCCAGGGAGTAACCCTCAGAAATCTGAATGCACCGGGCTCTAAGCAAGGTTTGTATCGCAATAAGAAACACTCTGCTCCTCCCTTCCTCTTCTGTAGGTTGAGTCTTGCTATGTCACCCAAGCTGGCCCTGAATGCAAGACCCTGTCCTCACCTCACAAGAGCCCATATTACACGTATACCAACATGCTGAGTAAAAGTTTCTCATTTAAGGTTAAGGTTAAGGTTTCCTCCATATACTGTTGGGCTTAGCTTTGCCCTTCCCCATTCTCGTAGTGAAAGAAGTCTGCAATGAAGTCCTCAGCTGCCCCTCGCCCCAGCTCTGAGCGTTGCTGAGGTCAGCCTCACATTCTCAGATGATCCTTTCTTTCTTACCTGGAAGTGCTGGGCACCAGCTCAGGGACAGTGCAGAACTCCAGCCAGGTGAATTAAGTGCTATCTCAGACCAAGTGCTGTCCATGACTAAAGTCTGTTTGTTTTCAGCTTTGAAAATCGCGTACTTTATGTATTTTTTTTTCTTATTAGTGATGAGGAGAGTTAAAAATATGACCATATTTTCACAACCATAAGATCATATTCTGACTTCTGGTGGAAGTATGTTCTAAGTCGGCTAATAAAGTAAGTCTGATCAGAAAAAGCATTGGAGAGACTGGAGGAAAAGACAAAGTGTCTGCCAGCCAGTTGCTGCTTCTTAAAAAGCTATCTTAGGTGACCTCAATGTCAGACATTTTCCCTAAGTAATTTATCATTAAAATGTCTTCAGCCCTTAATTATGATCTGGCCATTACTAAAATCACACCATTCCTGCTCTGTAAATCTGACGGCCAGTTCCTTACTCCATCCCAGACCTTACCACATCTGATACAGGAGAACATCTGATCCCATCTGCCTAGTTTTCTACTTTTTAAAGTTTTGTCCCAGTCCCTAAACGCAAAGCTTTTGTTTCTTTTAGAGTTGTTCAACGCAAACCAGCAGGAATCATCTCCCTTACTGGCAACCAAGTACTAGTTTTTATTTATTGTATTAACATACAAAAGCATCCCTATGGATTAAGCACCAGGCTGTGTCCTAGGTATAGAAAGGTAAAGACACAATGTGTGTCCTTCATAAACCTGGAGTCATCTATTACAACCATCGAAAACTGTCTCTTAGCTTTTGCCACCAGAGCATGGAACAGCCAACAAAACCTCACAAGGAGCAAAAGGACACAGAAAACACCTGCTGCCAAAGGATGTTCAAACCAACCGCAGACCCCTGGAAGTGTCACAGCTGTGCTCACAGTGATATTTCAAGGCCAAGGTACTTGACACACCTCTCTTTGCAAGTGCCGAGTAACCTGGGGCTACCTTTTCTGGTCCGTTCCCGAACTCAAGTCTTTGAGGCAGCGAGCATCACACAGTGAGCCTCCTGGGTTTGATTGTGGCCAGTAAGAGGTATAGAGGATTTCAGGTCATAGTGAGTCATCTGTAATAAGTTCATAACTAAACCTTTACAAATGAAATCACATTCTCCCTCTGGTCATACCGCATGTCACACACATAGAAGACCAATAGAAACCAGTAGGAAGGAAGAGATTTTGAACTTGGAAAGGTGAGAATGGAGGGAATGGCATTCGGCTGCCTCCTGGGACTAGTTTACCATCATCTCTCTTTCCCTAGCACACCAACCACAAGAGCTTACTTGAGAATGAGTGTTGTTTGACAAGCCATTACGGGCCAGCAGCATCACAATTCACTTTTCGACATGGGATGCATGGCCTTTCAGACCCATCTGACCTCTACCTTGCAATGCCATGTCCACGTATAAGAACAACGTCCCCTGTTGACTTGACCAGCTAGAATCACCTAAGAGGTACACTTGTAAGGGTGTTTGCAGGGGTAATTCTCTGAGGAGGAAAGATCCACTCTCCGTGGGGGTGGCACCATCCTGTGGGCTCGGATCCCAACTAATCAAAACAGGGAAAGGGAGAAAGGCGTCAGGGCAGCAGCACTCCCCAGCAAGCAGCCTGGCATGCCTGCTGTCATGCCTTTCCCACTGCGGTGGGCTGTTACCTACAGCAACTGTGATCCAAAACTAACCCTCCTCCCTTCAGCTGCTTTTTCTCAGGTATTGGTCTTAGAGAAAAGAAACAGAACTAACATGCCATGTCTGCCAAGCACCATCTCTATGTCTGAGCAGGGGGATTGGATTTCCCCAAGATCCACATGTTTCTTCCAATGAGCATAATGAATCTGCGGTTCAAACATGAGCCATGTTCTTGCAGCATGAATCATTATTACTGTGAATAAAAGAGTAAGGCCAAAGTCACTATTAAACAAGACTCGCCAAGCTTCTTACCATTCCTCAGCTTCACCAAAAGAATAACAATAATGTGCCTTCCCTTGGTTTTCGTTGTTTTGTTTTTAGGTTGTTTCAGAAGTTGGCAACAGACCACCTATAGGTGAAATTCGTCAGGCCCTCTTTTTTTTTTTTTTTTAAATCAAGTTTTATTGGGACACAGCCATGCCCATTCAGTTATGGATTGCCTGTGGCTATTTTGCATTACAGTTTTAGAGATTAATAATTGTGGCAGAGATCATCTAGCGCATAAGGCCTAAAATATTTATCGTATAGTTCCCTACAAAAAGTGTCTGCTGGCCTCGGGTATAAACAATTACATCACGCACAGCCTGGAATATTTACCCTTCAACCTTATAGCAGAAAACAGAAAACGTGGCCAGTTGCCATACCACAATTTCAGTGGAGGGAAATGACAATGATGAAGATGATCGGGGGTTCAGCCCCTCCACTTCCCAGCTGTTCCCATTCCAGCTACAGATGTACCTATATGGTGCATATTTGGACCATATCCCGAATCAATTGACTTCTGACCACCTACCCCTGCTGTAAGTAGATTTAACGGATGGAACTAGCTTGCCAGTCTCTTTCTCAGCGCAGGCTGCTACACCACACTGTCTTATAATGTCCCACTTCTGTGATCCTGCAAGAATATTGTCGAAGGCGGTATGAAGCTGGATGTGAGACATTCCCAGAAGCCAAGTGTTTTGAAAGCCTCTCCTTCCCCAAGGAACTGGTTGTCTTTTGCTTTCTGACAATAAACACTTTGTAACTAACCATATTTCCCTTCTCAATATGGCTGCCAGGACACTTAACACTAAACTCAAAGCTGAGTCCAAGTGGGTCTCTGTGACTTGGGAAGCTATGAGTTTTTCTTCTTCTGTCCTTGGCGCTCTGATTTAAACATTCCCTAGTCTTGATTTCTGTTTCTTATTTATAGTTTAACAGCTTCATTGTGTGTTTCTGCAGCCATAAATCCTCTTGAAGAGACAAGGCCCAGAGCAAATGGGTAAAACGAGTTCCCATGGCAACTTGACACTTAAGTGTTTGACCTACTGTGCCTTTTGTGCAAATCATTCATTAGCGCTGGGAGGGAGAGACTCACACACCTTGTTCACCTCTGCTTTAGCTGAAGGGTCAGGACACAGACTAGATCCTCCAGAAGAACTTGTTAACTGACGTCACTACACGATTAACACCTGGAGTGACAATGCCTCATCCTATAGGTGCCTGGACTGGCCTATGTGTCAGTTTTTGGTTTTTAGAACAATATTCTAAGGAGTTCCCGGAACAGCCATGAAAGAATTCATGGCTCCTCTGAAGCCGCAGCAGCTATAGCAGCCAGAGCGTCAGAATGACACAAAGCCGTGATAAACGAACAAACAGGAGAGGGTGCTGTCTCCATGAGCACGTAGGGTCAGGGGGACATAAAAGGTTCTGCCTCATGCTGAGAGAAGGCTTTGGCCCACCTCTGTTGCAACATCACCGAATGAATGCAGTAATTCATTCATTCTACCCAAATATCCAGTCCGCGCTCAGACACAACCACAACATTTTTTTTTGTACCTCTCAGATTTAGCCCTCTTTGATTTACTGCGCCCAGGCAGTTTGGATATGGTTCAGGAATAGCAACCAGATACACCCAGGCTAGAATTCTGGCTTGGCCTCTTGCTAGCTGGTGGTCTTGTGTAAGTCATCTAAGCTCTCTAAGCCTTAGTTTCCTAACTTGGATGAAAAATAACATGGGCCTTACTTGTAGGGTGCTTGGAAGCATCATATCAGAACATGTGTGTGGAAAGTGCTTCGGAAAGTATCAGCCGTCATAAAAGCCTTCCTATAATTCTTCCCGTCTTAAAGACTAATGATTCTGAATGTGATTAAAGCCTCAATGCTGTGTCTTAGGATGGTATGCGCTTGTTTGGTTTTTATCATATTTTATTGTTCTTGTGGGTGTGTTTGGGGTGATGGGGTGTGTACGCACACGCCACAGTGCATGTGGAGAGGTCAGAGGACAACTTTTGGGAGTTGGTTCTCCTCTTCTGCCAAGCAGGTCCAGGGGATTGAACTTCTCATCGGGCTTGTTGGCGGGTGGCATTACCAGCTGATCTCTCACTGCCCCTTCTTCATAATCAGGCAGAATTAAGATCGGTTTTCAGAATATTGCCTGCCCTCTGCAATCACTGTTGATGTCATCAGTCCCAAGCCAATTATCTTCCTCATGTCTGCCTCTGAAATGGCTTCTTGACGATAAAGTACTCCTTCATTAATAGTCATTAGACACTTAAGGACCTGAAAACCCTCGGATGTGGTCCT